TTATTCAGGATTATGTTTCAAACTTATCCGATTTAGTTCTGTTTCTTTGTGTTTAACTTTAAGCGCAAATCTAGCCAATTTGTAGCGTTATAAACTTTCAAGTTTATGGCTGAGCCACTTGGGGACTGCGATTTAGTAAGTTTATTTACAACGCAAGAATGGTATCAATTCAAACCTTTATGTTCTTTTGAACCAAAGACAATGTTATTAAGCAAAAAAAAATCTCATTCAATGAGTGTAATACACTAATTGAAACTGAAAAGATTGGAAAAGCTGAATATTGTACCCTTATGTTGAAACAAATCATGACTAGCATTTGTATCGAGCATGAAAATATATGTGTCATTGCCGGAGGAAATGAGTATTGGCTTTTTGGGGAACTATTTTGAATTATCGGTATGAGTTCTTAATCTGTTTCAGCAACTCAACTGCCGATAAGTTTGATTAAGCATGATGGCCTGACAGCATAAGTCTTACGAAAGCAGACTGAATTTGATATGTTGGTGTACTTTGGAGTCACTTTCCTTTGTGAGTTTTCCAAAGTTTGTATTTCATTATTTGGTTGTCTGTGTTCTATCTTTGTTTTAATCAAATTTAAAAAAATCACAACGATTGGCGATAGATCAGAAAAAGTGTGCCTATCGTTACATTCTAGTCATCTATACTTTGTGTTAATTATGCTCATGGACTGTGGCGTATGACTTGAAACATTTTCATTAAGCAATTCCCCTGTTTGAATTATTGTGATTTAAAAAAGTATCTGACACAAACATTATCACATTGTTTTATATTATTATTAGTACCTTGCTCCTTTAGATTAGTTTATAGTTGAATTGTTCCTTATAACAATTTATTTATGATATTATATATTTTGCATTTATAAGAATGCTAATATAATGAATTATTAATCAAATTACATCTTACTTTGACAAAAACTTTATATAATGGATATATCAGTCATATTTTATATTCACAGACTTTTTACTGGCATATATATTTTTTTATCAAAACGACATGAAGACACCAGTGACATCTGTAAACTAAACGATTTCAACCACTCTTGTCCATAATGTAGGCTGGCTATATGGGACACAAGTGTCTTTAAGTGGGAGTTCTAGAAATAGTTCCAGAAGTCAGAAGCCAACGATGTATTTTTATTTGCCCCTCAGCACTACCCAATGGCATTATTTCGTTATAAATCAAACAATGGTGTGGCAGCAGGTGCAACGAATATTACGTTTCGAAAACTATATAGACAGACGACGAACGAAAAAGTTTATCACTATGCCAGCACACAAATCTTTTTTTCAGAGTAAAAACATTGGATATTTTTTTACTATGACCCCCATTGGCTCAGCGGTGAGTTAGCAGGGTTACGACGCTAAAAATCGGGTTTCGATATCCATGGTGGGCAGAGCACAGAAAGCCCATTGTGTAGGTTTGTGCTTATGAACAAAAAATATTTTCTACTACACCAAAAGATGCACTTCCAGGCTTAATATTAAAATCATATATTGTATGATTTACTTCCTAAGTTTAGTTCATTTGGAAAAGTTATTTTTGATTTATCTGAAATTATGAAGAATTGCACTTTATTAAACTTTTCTTCTGTTATTTTACTGAAAAAACTCATAAAGTTAACAACACTAGCCAAAATTTATTAACCGTGAACGATAACTCTAGCATGCTTTACCTCAAGCGCTTTTGCATTTACACATAATAAAATACAAGCAAAATAGTTTACAGCGGTCAGTTTACGGACTTAAAACGCTAAAATCCAAGGTTCGATTTTCCGCAGTTGATATAACAGCCAACTCAATGTGGCTTTGTTCAGACAAACAGTAAGCAAGCAAAATAAACTATAAATTAGAAAACTTAAGTGCAGTTTAGCTAGATTGTGACATATTGAATACATCTACTGCAGAATGTACCATTATTTAATCCTTCGCATGTGTATATTTGTTTCTTCTCTTTTCCACTCTGTCATGATGCTGAGGGAAAAGTTCTCAAGAAAAGTAAAGCCAGCTAAACAGTAATGAAACTTCCATCTACATCGTATTGTTTTCCGTGGCCTCTACTGTTGTTATCCTTATGTATACCTTAAATATGAGAAGCAACACAACACACTAAACATAGGGTCTCTACTTTCAGAGAAACGCCCCAAAAGAAGGAATTATATTTATATCTACTAGTTATAAATTTTCAGAAATATGCAACTTAACAATAGTTTTAAATATTGATTAAATTTTCCCAAAGAGCAGTCTTAAAGCATTTGATTACGCTACCTTTAATGCAATTATATTAACACTGCTGACCACTAACACTTGAAAATAGTTACATTGAAGAATTGAATTTTGTATGAAAATCTTTTTATGAACGTTCCAAGACGCTTATGTCTGTTACAGTTGAGGAACTGCTGCGTTCACTTTTCCTTAAATAGGCAATAATATATATCTTTATTCAGGTATATATATACATGCAAGTTGTGTGCAGGTGTTCTACATTTAGTTATTTGACATCATGAACAGGATGTGAAAATTTGTAAACCTGCACCAATCCTGGGTCATAGATATAAGTTAAATATTATACCAGTAATTCCGTAAAGACTTGCATTTGCTTGACCCTCTTTCCGTATCAGTACTCTCTGGGTATGCAAATCACGCTTAAGTTGGGAGGTGATATGGAAATTTGTACAAATCGGTATGAGCTGAAACTTATCTCATTTGAACATGTGTTAATGAAATGATAATTGATGTAGGCAATCCAAGACTACATGATATTGTACTTTGGTTTTGACTTAACAGTGGGAAATGTCAGGATTCTTGCTTCTATATTCACCTTGTATAAACGTCTCTATCTCTAGGTCCAGCAGTCAGAGAAGTTATGTATGATACACAGAAGCCAAACAGTTTAGTAAAGACCCGGGCAGTTATCATTAGTAACACGTTCGTGATGAATGAATATTTAATTTTTATTTGTTCATTTGTGGTTGCTTCTTATTTTGTTATCTGGGTTCGATTTATTACTCATTGTCAATACTCATAACTTGCTTGTAGGATATTAGTATTTTTAAATACCATAGATAAGTTATTAAGTTACACGGTGGTGCATTGAACAAGAATTTGTTATCGCAAAATTTACTTGGAACATGTTTGTAAGATTTGTAAATTGTGCTTATTGAAGGTTACCTTCTAAGTCCACGTATAATTTACAGCTGAAAAGAGGAAATTGCAGGTTAGATAAGGACGTGGTCTGAGAGTATGGTAGAAATCAAGAGATGATATTCAGCTAGAGGTAACCTCAACTGCTGCAAATTGACTAGGAGCATATGGTGATGATCAGCCTAGTTATCCTAAGAATAACTAGAGTGATCTTTACAGGACGTCTAGGAGTGTGCTAACCAACACAGGCATTGCTAAGCACAAAAAAGAGCCCCTTTTATAACCAAGAAGTCCAGCAGGACGTTCACGATAGAGTTTCAATGTTATGGAATGAAGCAGCCATTGTCTTGCTGTGATATTGCTGATCTCTATGGCAATTTGGGAATCTTGCTGATTGGTAAAACACATTTGCATCAAACTCTAAGTATAGCTAATCATCTGTCGAAAAAGGCAATTGGTATGTGGTGGATATTATTGAGTACTTCACCAAGAGGGCTGAAGCTTCTCTATTCGTCGATATGTTAGTGTATTTCATCGTTGATGTGTTGGCTGGACAATAGAGAAACTCACGTGGATAGGAGCTAACTTCATATAGGAAGTCTTGTCGAGAACTGGGTTTGTCGAAAACATGCGTCTCACAATATTATCCTTATCCTGATGGTTTGGCTGAATGGGCAATAAAACTATCATGTGGGTTCACACTGGGTTTGCGAACCCTGCACGTACTGTCTAGGATGATCACCTCTCATATTTCAAAAAACTCCTGATGTATGAATGAGTATTTGGCCCCCTATCCAGCGCAGATATACCATTGTATTCACAGGAACACATAGAGTACCTGCATTCTGCATTAGTTGGTGCACATGAATCTGGTGCATGGGGACAGTGGTCACATATCAAAGACGATATTATGACAAAATATTAAAGGAATGCTGGTTGGAGCTTGGCACCTTGGTATGATTTTAGTTCACACATGCAGTCTGTTCTCGAAGCATTGGTCCATATCTTGTATGTTAACAGCTTAATGAAGTGAATTATGAGTTACAGTAGTCGTTAGATGTGCATAAGCATGCCAAATGCTACAATAATATAAAACATTGTGCAATTATGAGCCTCTCGTGAAGTGATTGCTATAGGGATCATTAGGAAATGATTCTGATTTTGAGAAAGAAGATTATTGCAGTACGTATTTGGCAGTTCCTAAGGAATCAGACGAGTAGGAGCAGTTTGGCTGCTTTGATGAATGAATGAGACATGTACTTTGGCTTTCTGGTCATTATGGCTAGGATTAAATATGCAGGGTTTCATGTAAAAAGTCTACAGGAAATAATGTAACAGTTATTCAATAATAGCACGGTTAGAAGAGTCGGATGATTGAAAACTCATCAAGAGAAGGGGTATTGCCAGCTTTATTTACTCAAGATTTGATGTATTTGACCGTGCCAATAGTCTTATATATTAATTTATTCTAATCATGCTTAAAAGAATTTCAAGTGCCGCTGGTATTGAGGATTCCCTCTTGGTTTAGTGTTTATAAATAAAAAGATTCAAGTTAGTATATTACACATAACTAAAATCGCTCAGTAATCTGGTTTAAAGTATTATTAAAAACTTATTCACCTACAGCGGGTATTTTATTCCAAGAACAATTTCCTTAATAAATTAGATTCATGCAAAACTCAGCTCTCTCTTTATATTATATTCTCTTATCTCGTATTTCTGCTCATAAAAGTTTTAATCGGAGAGTGATACACTCGACTCACCACATACTAATTTCCGTTACACTATCAAAGGCATTAGTAAAAGTTTAAGCCTGAACAATCTGATATGTTTACTTACCAGAGCAGCAGGATAAAAAGCTGAAGAATCCACACCGGCAAAGTTGTGATAGCTAGCCTGGTCGGCCGCATAGCCTGCTCCGTTGTAGAATCGCGAAGAACCGGTAAGGCTTGTTGGCAGCTGAGAATATGGTGACAACAGACGAGAGTCGTAAGCTGGAGGCAACGAACAGACAGCAGCGTGTGGTGGTGGCGGCTGAGTAGCATGCGAATCAGTTGCTAGCGGGGAACGCGACGTTTCGCAACACGCGGTCCCTGAGGGGCCTGCCTGTCCCGTATTTCCCAGGAGCTGAAGAGAGAAACAAGTTATTGTATCACAAAATTTATGATCAGCAATCATCCTTTGACATGTTTTAGAATATTTAAACAGGTTTGAAGAGCTCTATTTCTTCATCCATGTTTATTGTGGTATTAAAACATCAACACCCTGTAAAAGCACGAATTACACTGCTTATTGTAACGTAAACAATTTTAAGGTTTAACGTAAGTGTATGTAAATATAGGCAACGATAACGTGACTTTTGATCTTAACATGTAAATACGTCGTCAGACAATAAACAAACTCTGAGTCTGTACATACATTTCCACACATTTTAAGCACACAAGTGTATAAACATGGTTAAAAACATGTATAATATAAATCCTTTAAACTGAAAGAATGTTATAATTCTACAACAAAATCACATTTTGTTGAAGAACGATGCACTGCATCTTAATTAACGGTATGAGATAATCTTTTTCTCTGATGAAGTTCTTGAAATCTTTATTTTCAGATGAAGTAGTGTATGTTTGACTAATAAACTGAGTAATATACAAAATCTCCAGAATTTCTAAAAATATAAGTTTCCTAGCTATTTTCTTTCTAATGGTTGACCTTCTACTTATAAATATGTTTAGGAAACAGCAGCGGAAAACCTCAAAGACACCCAGTTGCTTATGAAAAGAAAGAGTATTTCAATAAAAGAGACGAATATGGCTATGGTTTTTCAAACAAAAACGTTTTTCAGTCTATATGCACGACTACTATGTAAGTTTTCTAAAGGCTTCAAAATTCGTTTGTTCTACAATTAAAATGCATAATGACATTCCAACACTTCATAAACTGGTAAAGTGAAAGAGTGTTCAACAAGATACATATAATATATTTAGAGCGTGGGTGAAACTAAGATGTAGCTAAATAATTTTAAACATTTGAAAGTATAGTAAAATTTTCTATAGAGATACTGAATCTGGAAGTTTCAAATTGAGTGAAATATTTCCTGTAGATACTCATACAACGATTGATGCTTTCTGAAATTCTTAGGTAACACTAAAATTTTGAATGACTGGATCGCTAGAACTACAGATAAACTTTAAAGATCACGTTCTTTTCGCTGAAGGTGTTTAAGAGAAGGATAAACAGATACATGATAAGTTGTGACATGTCGTGAGTTTGTTTTCACAATGAATTGCTAATATAATATATGCGACACTACAACTCATAGCTCATCCAATTCTTTATAGCTGTTGTTGTTTTTTTCATAAAGATGTTATTTACAACTGATCACGTGATAATAGTTGTTAATCGTTAGTTTAAATCTAAAACTTTTGCGAGATAGTTTTGGAATACAACCTCACAAGAAGGATACCAAGTAGCCAATTAGACGATTATGAATGAAAACAAACTATATAAAAGCAGAGTCAGTTGCAGTGTAGATATCTCAAATTTTAGTATATTTATTTATATTTACTTGGTTATAACACCGTTGAAAGAGCAGATAAATGGCTTACTTGTTAATATCCGATTACTTTAGCCGTAGAATATGTAATGCTATTTGCGAAAACACCATCAACTCGATGACGATATTGAAGTACACGCAATATTCTCGGCTTCGCATAAGATATCCCGCGTAGTTATCAACCAGAATGAGATCTGAGGACCTTTTCACCAACGTGTTCTCTAAAGTTATGTGTAATTGGTTTTCAAGAATATATCTTTCAATAAATGTTTTTTTTAGATTTACGAAAACAAACCTTTTATGATATTCTGGATCATAAACATCAGGCGTTCTTCTGAAAATTTATATAATCTCTAAGCATGATTTTCAGGCAAAATTGTACAACCTTGAAAAATACCCTGTTTACTGTACATTCGTGAATTAAGAGCTGTGGGTCACCTGAAATCTCTTGAAAACTATTGGGATAAACGAAATTAATTTTTATTATTAGTTTTATAGATACAAATGTAACCCCTTAACTTAGCTGAAATAAAAACCTGTCAAATATGAACAGAAGAACGCCACTGATTATACTTTTAAATATATATTAGTTTTCGCAGCTTAACAATACGACCATTATCAACATCAAAAGCTCCATTTTTTCCATATATAAAGAATTTTCCTGCAGATCCACTTACTGAATGAGATACATTCACAGAAAATAATTTTCTGGATTTTTTTCCAAAGGAATCAAGACAAAAATAATATGTTAATTTCCACTTAAATATTAAAACACTGCATTAAAAAGTATAATGATCCTAGAAGATGTCCGTCTGGCATATCACATCGTGTAATAAATTTTCAAAACTGTATTCTTAATACATGCCTGTGTTTGTTTGTTTTACGCTTTGTCTTCATATGTATGTGTATAATTATTTAAATATAACGAAAGCTCACATGACTCACTTTTGTAGTTAGTTGTATGTGGTGGTGGTTTAAAATGTTGTAGTTTTAACATAACCATCGCTACTGAAAGTTTCCTTTTAGTCAATAAAAGAAAATTATGCCTGCTAATTATAAATATAAATAACAAAACTACAGACATTTCTACCAAGTTTTAAGAAAATCTAATAATTATAGCACCAAGGAAACTTTTCGGAATGTCGTGTTCATGAACTGAGGTAACTTATTAACATTATACCATTTCATACTTAAAGAAGACACATTTTTATGTTTACAAGAATATGCATACATATATAGCTTGTAGGTTGCCTACGTTATGGAAGATAATTCTCAGTTTACAATGCGCATGAAATAAACAAATAAATGATGTATCACACTTCACTAGAAACACTTTTTACACTGAAATAAAAAAACAAAAAAGGTGATCGAATTAATATTTCCATGAGAGCATTGATTACTATACAAACTAGTTTTGCCCAACTTGTCAAAAAATGACGGGTTGGAGTTTTGTAAAAAGCATTTTTAGGCCCGCGCCTTTCCTTCAGCAAACTTTGTTCACCAAACTTACTCCTTCATCATAAAGGAAAAACAATCACACATTGAGGAAAGAAAAACAAAACACTCACAAAAAATCAATAGGAATGGTGCAACTTCAATTAAAAATTACTCATAATATCAGCGATACACACACACACACAATGACTAATTGCTTTTATATCTATTAGTCCAGTTATTCGGGGTAGAAATAAACGACTCTAGGCAGTAGGAGTCCAAGGCCTCACTAACATAATCTTATCACCTAAACTTTGTCACATAACGTCCCAGCAGAAATTGTTGAAGTATACCCGATTTATCTGTTTCGTGAACTTGTCTTATTCAAGTGGTTCTGTGGTACGTAGAAGGTTTCAGAAATTCACAAAGAATGTGATCTATGTAGTTAAGATAGTTGTTGCCCCTGTAAGCTGATACAATTGATATAGTTTTTCTGCGTTTTTAAGTTTGAATCTAATGCGTGTAAATAGTTTTATTGCTAAGCGACAAAAACGAACGGAACGTTACTAAAAGACAACAGGCTTTTATGTACAATAGGTGGCTAGTTGAATAGTAATTCCTGAATGAATGATATTGGAACTGTATATTTGCTTTGTACAAGTTGATAAATTTTATATTTATTTCAAAACTAAAAGAAATCACTCATGGAAACACTCGCAGACGAAAAGGGTTGGCCGTTGTTTTATCTGCAACTAATAATTTTAACTTCCGATTAGAGCAAGCTATATGCTTAGAGCGAAACTAAGAATAAACCTGGCCAATAGTTAAGCTAATTAAATATACGTTTCTACTTATAAAAATTATAATGTATTTTTTCGTTCAGATTGAAAGCCATTTAATAAGAGTTTGTTATTTTACATCTTTCAGACTTATGTATTAAGATATTACATCAAAATAACTTGTTTCAGAAATTTTATGGCGATCCCAACATCAAAGCTAATTTGCTCAAAAAATTATTCATCTCTTTGATAGTAGGTATGAAGAGCGTTTAGTGTAGATTTAAATAAAAACACGTAGTTCACTTTTTCAACTACGACTATATGTTTGTCTACTTGAGCTGACTGTATGTTTGTCTACTTGAGCTGACTGTATATTTGTGTACTTGAGCTATATATATATACTTGAGCTAACTGCATGTTTGTAGACTTGAGCTGACTGCATATTTGTGTACTTGAGTTGACTGTATGTTTGTCTACTTGAAGTAACTGTATATTTGTTTACTTGAGCGGACTGTATATTTGTCTACTTGAGCTGACTGTATGTTTGTCTACTTGAGCTAACTGTATGTTTGTCTACTTGAGCTAACTGTATGTTTGTCTACTTTGAGCTGACTGTATTTCTAAGTATTTTATGAGTAATGTTCAAATAAATCCACATCTGCGCAATTTGTATATGTTCAACAACAAATGAATATGTTAAAGTTAATTGTTATGAACCTGAATACAAGGGCAGACCATAAATCAAATTGCAACTGCTATTCAAACTATCTTAAATATACATATATAAACCAACCAAGAAATGTTAGCTTAAACACAATCTAGCTCATTACGTTTGATTTTTTCTTACCATAAAACATGTGTAAAAAAGCTTTCTAGAGTTTTAGGTGGCACCCTTGCTTTCACTAATTGAACCTTGGCTGTAACCAGTCATTTAATAGTGAGTTGAGTGTATATTGTGAACAGTCATTGTATAATTATATTAATAATAAAAACAATAACACAGATAAACTTGGCACACTTGAAAGTCTGAAAGTTATTGCAGTTGTTATGTTTAGAACTTTCAAAACAGTAATAAGAAATTTTACAGTTAGTAATCTACTTTGGTATTCAATTGATTTATATGCAGTTGTTGGTCAGTTATCCTACAACCATTAGTAATCCGATATAATTGTGAGATATTCTTACATTTAGTTCTTCGAATCGAATGTTCAGTAATTCTATAGTAAGCACTATGATAAGGTGGTGAGTAATTTACCAGTTGAAAGTCTAAATGTTGTAATTGGTAATTATACAGTATAATGTTATTCTACCTTTAATTTTCTAAACGTGGTGGTCAGTAATTATACAGTTAGCTTCTC